TTTGTTAGCTGAATGATAAGAGCACTGGTCCGGTTAACCAGCTATTGTGTCTTGGGTTCGATTCTCGAACGAAGCATGTCATTTTGTTTTTCTGAATGAAAAATTCAAACATCAAAAGATAAAAGGAAGAAAAAGTATATCATATAAAGATTAAACTCTAATAAAACAGTTATAATTTCACTAGATTCAAACATTCATTCTTCTAGTTCTACGAAACCCTACTTTAGAGTAATATATTAGTCCAATCGATGATGAATAATCATTTATATTCCGAAATAAAATGAAAGCAAAAGAAATTATGTATTCGCAAAAATCACAATAATACAGGATTACAAATTTGTTCTTTTCGTTTTCTTTTTATTGGTTTTTTTCTTCAACTCTAATTCAAATCTCGGATATGTCACGAATTTTTTTGAATCCAATCATCTTTGCCCAATTGGCGGGCGATACCTATGTATATAATACTTGTATTTAATCTATATAGTATTATTCACACGGTTGTTGTTTATTCTTTAGATAAACCAACGGTAGATAACTGAAATTACTTCTTTAACTAACAACTACAACTAATGGAAGAAGAACTGCCAGATAATATTCAAGAGCCTATCTTAGGAAACACAGAAAACGTGACACTAATATATTTCGATTCTACCATCAAGTCAAGGAATGACATTGAAAAAGCAACGGAAGAATTTCAGACCGTCAACAACTTTGTTCTCAGTTTTATGGATATCAATACATGTATCGACTATATAAAATCTATCAATGAGGAAAAAATTTTTCTCATCATCGATGCTAACAATGCATATAAACTACTTCCAACTATTATGAGTCTTTCTCAGTTAGACTCAGTATATATTTATCCAGAAAAGCGAGAAGAATATGTTCGTTTATTTGATGAATTCTACAAAATTGTTGGAATTTATGATAATCGTGTTGAATTAATGATGTCAATTAAAGATAATATTAAGCACATAAACAAACAAATGGAAATGGTCTCTTTCTTCGATGAAAATCAATATTCTATTCGGAATTTATCCGAGAAATCAGCTGAATTTCTTTGGTATGTTTATTTGACTGATTTTACTACATAATCAATTTCTTCTGTAGGTTTCAATTGATGAAAGATGTTCTTGTTTCTTTGTCTCATGATGAGCAAGCCAAAAAAGAAATGTTGGATGCTTGCAGGCAATACTATCGAGGTAATCATCAAGTATTGAAGCAAATCGATGATTTTGAAGAGAATTATCACAAGGACGATAGCTTTCAGTGGTATACAAGAGAAACCTTTCTGTACAGGATCATCAATAAGATTTTACGAACAGAAGATATCGAACAACTTTTTATATTTCGTTATTATATTATTGATTTATCCAGTCAACTTTCTAAGGAATGCGAAAAGATCAAAAATGGATCAGAAAAAAGTATCCATCTATATCGTGGTACAACAATTACAATTGAAACAGCAGAAACATTCAAAGCCAATCTGGGTAAACTGATTGCAACGAATTGTTATTGGTCCACAAGTCGGGATCGTTCGTATGCGCTTACATTCGCCAAGAGATCACACAATCGACCTGATATGATTCCTGCATTATTCAAAATTGAATGCGATGTAGAGGATCCGAATAATCTTGCTATCTTTGCTGATATATCCGCTTTTAGTGATTTTCCGGAAGAGCAAGAAGTATTGTTTGATGTTGGCACACTCTTTACAATAGAAATAGTTAAGGAAGAAAAACTAGAAGATAATGATATATTATTAGTTGCGATAAAGACAACTGGAGAAGGACAAGAAATTACAGCAAACTATATGGAAGTGAATCGACGAGAAATGCAAGATGAAAGTCCAAAAATAATGCTTTGTAATCTTTTGAAAAGAATGGGTAAATTTGAAAAATCTCTGAAATTTCTTAAACAACTTCGAAGGAATCCTGGTGATGAAAATCTGGCTCATATTCATAATCGCATTGGTATTGCTCTCAAAGATGAGAAGAAATACGAAGCTGCATTAGAACATTTTCAAACTGCATTTGAATTAGCTTATAATTCTGAACCATCACAACGCAAATACTGTGCTTTTATACTTCATAATCAAGGTCTCGTCTATGCCAAACAAAACAAATTAAATGAAGCGTTAAGTTTTCAACAACGTGCCTTGGAGATTTTAGAGAGTATAGGAAATACTAATGCCCATTTTGTTGCTTCATACTATGGTAGTATCGGACGAATTTGTTCACGTCAGAATGATTTTGATAAAGCTATGAAATACTTTATAGAAGCGATAAAAATAAGTGAAATGTCTTTATCAACTGATCATGTTTATAATGCTTGCACTTATGCAGATATTGCTACAATGTATTCTCGTCAGCATAAGTATGATGAAGCTCTTTCATATCATCTTATGGCGTTGGAATTACGAAAGAAATATTTACTATCCAATAACTATAATATTGGTTGGAGTCTTCAGGAAGTGGGCCGCATGTATTACAAGAAGGGTGATTCACAGAAAGCACTTGAATATTATTTAGAATCATTGAAAATTTTAAGAAGTTATACATCCGCTTCTTGGCAACACAATCTCATCTGGTTACTCGATAATATTGCATTAGTTTATGGTGATGAGTATGAGACAGCGTTAGAGTATCATTTACAAGCATTGGAAATGCAAAGAAAATTTGAGCCTACTAACTATCGGAATCTTATTAAATATCTGGAAAAAATAGCATATACGTACAAGTGTATCGGTGATATGTCCAATGCACTGAAATACTTTAAAGAAATTTCGACAGTATATGAAAAGTATCTCTCGTATGATCGTAACAATATGGCTCAACATTTTAATACGGTGGCTTCTGTTTATGAGAAAATGAACGAGTTATATTATGCCCTCAACTACTATTCTAAAGCGAAGCATATTTACGAAGAGCTTTGTTCTTATGATGCTCTATTCTATGAAAATATTAAACAATCTATTAAACGAGTTAAAGACTCAATACGAAGCCGAAGCAATCGTTCACTATGTAGCTCAAATATAGTTGGTGAATCGAAAGCTTTGAATTCTGATAAAAAATGATCCCGTTGTGTATAGTTAGCATAAAGATACTCAAAAAAATATTTCTGTATACATCTCAAGCATTGTTTGTTAATAATTTTAAAAAATGTTCTCGGTAGATATTGTCACCAGTACCAGCTAAATTTCGAAACATGCAAATAATAACATCTTTTCCTTTCTTATTCACATCTATCGTCACTGATGCACATCATTCTGAGAATGAATTTCGTCATTGTTGTAAAACGAACTTGTGAATTTCGACGATTTTGGTCTATTGATTTACTTATTCAACGCCAGATAAACAGAAGCGATTCCTCTTTGCGAATATAACATTCTTTCAAAGCAGGAATAGATTGTCTGATTTCATTAATAAACTCTTTCGAAGAGATTGGTTTGTTTTAATCAGTATTTTGTTCAACTGTTGCATGGCGGGTATTATTATTGATAATTTTTTCAATATATCATCGGTGGATTTCATGTGAATAAATAATCGTTGAAGGTTCTTGAATATTTGACCGAACTTTGGTGTTGCTTCTTTATGAAAATCTTCTTGTTGCAATCTCTTTATAAATTGTATATGTTGAATTGTTTTTCCTAAATGCAAACATATTATTTCATTAGAGAAGTTATTGGTCATATCATTAAGTGTTTGTGGGAACAGTTTCGATGAGTATAAAATTGAACATTCTTTCAATACATTGATAAAACACTTCATGTTTCAATAATTCTCGCACGGACAGAGATCCTACATGATGAATATTGTTGCAGTTGACAGACATATTTAGAAACGGTAATATATCATTATTATGGTGTAATAGAGATCCTAATATAATTGTATCAACATTGTTATATGATTAGCCTATGCGTGCAGTCATTGGACCAGTACAAGTATAAATATTGCGTACTTGACAATTGTACTGGATACTTCTACCTTAAGTACATTTTGGCTGTAGTTAATGTTTATTTCGATAATATCTAAATTGTTTTCTTGCAGCGGCTGATCTAGAATTTTTTGATAGGGAGCGATTCGATGAAGATGGGGCGATTTGGGTGTGGATGTGGTGTTAGTCCTCCTCAGATCCACACCCTCACCCACACCCACTCACACTCATCCTTTTATATCAGTATTAGGTGTGTGTACAGAGAAAGTATTCGACAGCGGGAAAAAGACAAAAGCATAGAGCAAGACCGAGAACGAGAAAGACTTAGAGTAATAGCGCGAGACAGATAAAATCAAGGAATTGTTTGCCAGTGTCTTCTTTGAGATAATAAGATTTAGTGATGATTCATAGTCGACAACATAGCTCTATTGTTCATTTTGAGCGAATGGAATGGTCATCATAATTGAGAAGAAAATTATTATCGAACAAACATTCACGTAAAAGTAAGTCTAAATCTAGGCGAAGGTTAAGTGAAATTTGGCAGAACGATAGTGGTTGGATAATTTTGCAATTTTTTTTTGTAAGTTGGTTTTGTGCATGAGATATTTGTATTTATTTGCGAAAGTGATCAAACAAAACAAATAATTGAAATGGAAAATAGCTCGAAGATTGTCTTTTGTAATAAACTTGTAACCGATGAAACAAAGAGAAAAGAGTTCAGTTCATATTAGTACATTTGTTGTTCCGTGGACGACATGTTGTAGAGCGTCAAACGGATGAATGGCAACAGGAGAGGATGTGGGTGTGAGTGTGTTGATATGGATGAGATGAAGAAGTACACCCACACCCTGTGAGCAACATCGATATGTATATATTCACTAATAATCATCTAGCTATGCCGACATTACACTATATAATTAATTCATCAATAGGACTAAAAGATAATTAAATGTCTAAAGATATACTTTCATAGATTTCTTCATATTTAAGTAAAAATAAAAATAAAAATGAACAATGAGAATTAAATTTTCATTCTAAAGAGTAAAGTGGAAGATAATACTGATGATGATGATGATTTTCCATTCAATGGTTTATTTTCCCCAATTGCAAAATTCTTCCTTGATTTCGATCAACTTTTCTTCGGTTTCTCAACTACATTTTCAATTCCTCAAGAAATCAACAATGAAAATCCTCGACCATCAACTAGTCTAAGAGATGAAGTTGTCAAACAAGAGTTTCGAAGTAAAGACAATACAAAAACCTATTCTGAAAACGAATTTTCTTAAATTAATATCTTTTGTAGATAATCATCATGATGATGAAAATCTTGATTCTACTATAGAAAAACATGATCTTAACGGAGCATTTCCAAAAACTTTTATAATAACAACAATGAAACGAGAAACAAAATCACCACGAACGTGTGTTATTGAAAAACAAATTCAATAATCATCAAATCAAAATGAAAATAACAAAACTGAAAGAATAAGTAAAATATGTGGAGATAAACATCATAAAACAGTAAAACAAGATGGTAAAATAATTCGAGAATATGGAAATGCAACAACAAATGAATTAGATCAAGTTGACTCATCTTCGAATGATAATAATGATCAAGCAATTATTTGCGGGAATAGACGTTAGAGTTTGTTCTTAAAAATATTTTTCTTAAATAGACGTTTCTTGTCGAAATGATCTACTAGAAATAAACAAAAGAAAATATTATTATTCGAGTCGTTGTGTTTTATTTTGAAAGAAAAACATTCAGCTGTCTCACTATGTTTTACTGAATATATTTTATTTTCTCCACTTTTTCAAAACTGGGTGTCTTTTCCGATTGAAAATAAACTTGTCGACAACAGCATAGTTTTCCTCAACAACGACAGAAACAAAAAAAGAAAAAAGGTATCAATTCAGATCGGATGAGCATCCGACAGCTTATACACAAGTAGAAAAAAAAAACTTTTTTCTTCTAATCTTCATTTACGATTTACTCATACATTAAAATATCAATTTAATCTTGAAGGTGTGTGTGTGCGTGTGTATCTTTTCTTCTGTCACCAGTATACTCACACACACCACCCTCAAGGATTGCTTCATTGTATGCTCGAGTTCGACTGTCAATTATCAGCAATTTTATATGAGTATATCTAACAAAGTGAAGATTTTTATATAGGAAAACATCTTACCTTATTGACTTTTAGTTCTAAAAAGTATGGAGAGACAGTCTTCTAACGAAAAATTCTTTTCAAGATTCCATTGAACAGAAAGATATTCAAATATATTTCTTTAAAGAGAAAGATTCTGAATCGTGTAGATGTTGTTCCAAACTAACGAAACATTTCAAATCGTAATCAGTAGAATTTTTATAAGATTCTATTTTAACAGATATGGTACTCTTATCAATTATTTAACAGTAACAAGAAAATTTTGACAGCTTGATATCAATAATTTTTTCTATGGTAATCTCTGATACAACTATTAATTATTAACAATATTATGTATGTCTCTTTTTGTGACAAAGCAAACATTTAGAATAGCTGATAAGCTGAAATCATAACTTATCTTGTTTGTTTTCAGTGAAACAGCTAGATGTTGCAACCCATGATCCCTGATTCTCTTACTAGAAGTTTTCTAGTCTTAATCATCAATGATACAACGTTAGAAAGATTATAGAAGCTGGATTCCGAGAATCTCTCAAAACTTTCAATATATGACAATGCTCAATCTATCTTTATCTAGTTCGGTCAATTTATATGCTCTTTACGTACTTATTAACTGTGAATTTTCTGATTGTAGATGAACTTGAGAGAAACTTTTCAAATGTTCAAATAAATCATGACATCGAAATGTTCGTCGTATCTTACTGTGCAATTAGTTATGATATATTAATTATGTCGTTTTAAAATTTTCTGTAGATTGTTACGATGAAATAGTAACAGAATCAATGTGCTCTAGAAATGAATGTAATCAATGCTTGACTTGATAAAATTCTATTTCAAAATTTCA